TTACATATACAAGCTGAGTCTTGCTTTCTTCCCTGTGAGTTAATTCTTCCCTGCAGGAAGGACAGCTCTAGTTCTAACCAAACGTTTTATTCATGTCTGTGTTCTACATGGTTTTAAGGACAGTATGTCAGAATATCTCCCTATGTGTATGTAAAAGTAGCTGCTTTGCTGAATCCATCATATTATGGATTCATATATGTGCAGTGAATTTGAAACTCACGATAAACAGTCTCAGTAGAAATCACCTGAGCAGCACAACAGAAAGCTGGCTGGTAGTATTTTTATGGCAATATTTAAATAGCTCATTTGCTAAGTACATTGCTACTGCACAAAACAAAACTGCAAGATCAAAATACACAACCCAGTTTACTTACAGGTAGAAAGAATCATGTTTGGTTGTCCACTGGTATTCAATTGAAAATGTAAACCTCTCTTCATCAGTTGTGCCAGTAAAACAGCTCTAGCTGAGCTTTTTTCTCTGATATGAAACATGGTAAACCACAAATGCTGCTTAACCCCACCTACTTACCTTTTTTTTTTTTAAAAAAAAAGCCCCAAACAGACTAGATACCAATCTCCCATATGTTTTAAAAAATTTTATATATTAAAATCTGACTGCTTTCTAACACCAAGCAAATATTTTACAGAAAATAAATTATTAAAAATCAATCAGTATGGCCAGGTCTTAAAAAAAACAGAGGGGAAAATACAGTAGCTGTAAATCACAGTATTTGGTTCTGTTCAGATAATTTTTTACCCCATTTGAAAAAAATATAACTAAAATTACAAAGTTGCAATAAGAAGGGGAAGAAGGACTGAAGTTGCTTGAGGGAGCTCATCCAGAAGAAAGAGTGGTGCAGCATTTCAACCTGCCTTTGAAGACACCAGAAGAGTCAGCAAGACAGTTGCCTTCAGAAGTGTTCTAATCCTTTCCAAAATTAACTAACTCAGGCTACATTCAACTAAAAAACATGTGTTCATTTAGAAACTAGGTGCCTCACAGTTCCTGACATCCTAAGTATCAAACCCAATGGTGGGTACGCAGAAATTACGCTCAGGTAGTGGGAGCAGGCAGGCAAAGAGGTCAGATTCAATGCACCCATTGCACTGAGGAAACGGCTGCCAAAAGTCACAGAACCATAAAATGGTTTGGGCTGGAAGGAACCTTAAAGATCATCTAGTTCCACCCCCCCTACCATGGGCAGGGACACCTTTTGCTAGACCAGGTTGCTCAAAGCCCCATCAAGTGGTCTTGAACACTTCCAGTAATGGAGCATCCACAACTTCTCTGAGCAACCTGTTCCAGTGTCTCACCACCCTCACAGTGAAGAGCATCTTCCTCACATGCAATATAAATCTACCCTCCTCCAGTTTGAACCCCTCATCCTACCACTACCCTTGTAGTCCTATCACCTATGCCCATGTAAAAAGTCACTCTCCAGCTTTCTGGTAGGCATCATTCAGGTATGGGAAGACTGTTATAAGGTTTCCCTGGAATCTTTTCTTCAGGCTGAATAATTCCAGCTCTCTCAGCCTCTCCTTGTAGGAGAGGTGTTCCAGCCCTCTGATCATCTTTGTGGCCCTCCACTTGATCTGCTCCAACAGGTCTATGTCATTCTTGCGTTAGGGGCTCCAGAGCTGGACACAGAACTCCAGATGGCATTTCATGAGAGTGAAGTAGAGGGGGAGAATCCTCTCCCTTGACCTGCTGGCCATGCTTCTTTTGATACAGCCTGGGTTACAGTTGGCTTTCTGGGCTGCACTCGCACACTGTTGGCTCATGTTGAGCTTTTCATCAACCAGCACCCCCAGGTCTTTCATCCTCAGAACTGCTCTCAATCCATAATCCACCTGAGTTGGTACGGGCAGATGGAGCAGCACGGAGTCCCCAGGCAGGTGCAAAGGAGGAACTTTATTTACAAAAAAACCAGCCTTTTTATGCCGTTAGTCAACCATTAGTTTACACACTCTTTAGGCACAACAAACCCATTTTAACCAACCACCAAATACCACAGTGCAAACACCCAGCATGCCTCATCTCCTCTGTTCTAGCCGAATCACTCTCCCAGAGCCCTTCTCTGCTGAGCCTAAGTGACAGGCTTGAGTCGTGATTGTACCAGGCCTTCCCTTACAAAGCTGCACCTATTGGCTACATCCACCCAGCCTGTATTTGTGCTTAGGACTGCCCTAACCCCAGGTGCGGATCTTGAACTTGGCCTTGTTGAACTTCATGAGGTGGGGATGGGCCCACCTCTCTACCCTATCAAGGTCCCTCTGGATGGCCTCCCTTCCCTCCAGTGTGTTGACCATACTATACAGCTTGGTATCTGCAAACTTGCTGAGGGTGCACTTGATCCTACTGTCCATGTCACCAGCAAAGATGGTAAGCAGCAGTGGTCCCAGTATCAATCCCTGAGAAACACCAGTTGTCACTGCTCTCCACTTGGACATCGAGCGGTTGACCACAACTCTGAGTGCCACCATCCAGTCAATTCCAGTGGTCCATCCATCAAACCCACATCTTTCCAATACAGAGACCAGGGTGTCGCGCAGGACAGCACTGAATGCTTTTCACAAGTCCAGGTAGATGACATCCACTGCTCTTCCCTGATTCACAGGCACTGTAATTCCATCATAAAAGGCCATCAGATTTGTCAGGTATGATTTTTCTCTCGGTGAAGCCATATTTGTTGCCAGAAATCACCTCTTCATTTTCCATGTGCTTTAGCAGGGCCTTGAGGAGGATCTGCTCCATGATCTTGACAGGCACAGTTGTGAGACTGATTGGCCTCTGGTTGCCTACCTCTTCCTTTTTCCCCTTTCTGAAAATGGAGGTTATGCATCCTCTTGTGCAGTCAGTGGGAACTTCAGACTGCCAAGACTTTGCAAATATGATGAAAAGCAGCTTAACTTCATCTGCTGGTTCCCTCAGGACTCACAGATGGATCTCATTGTGTCCCATAGTTTGTACACTTTCAGGTTCTTGAGATGGTCTTGAACCCAATCTTACTTACAGTAGGTGCATCTTCCTCCTCCCAGTCATTGCCTTTGCCTTCTGCAGCTTGGATTGTGTTTTGTCATACACATTAATTATATAAGTATTGTAAAGAAACAGGCTTGAGTTTGATTTTCCTATGCTTCATTTGTGTTTTAAAGGAAACATTACTTATTACTGTGGAACTTCTCATGAGGAATTATTGAAAGTATTGGCAACATCACACTTTGCAGGGTCTCCTGAAAAAATGAGAAACTGGGGTGGAAAGGAGCAGTTAGGGAAGGAAAGACAAGCTTGGCTTACCTTTGATCTTCCACATCCTTTTTTCTACTACAGGTAGAAAGCCCTAGATTTACCCCTTTAACAATAGATGCTGATGGTATTGATTGGGTAGTTGTTTCAACCAAAAATTTTGACAGTCTGGTTGGTATACCTTCAATTATCTCCTGATACCTTGTCATTAAGAAAAGAGAAATAGCCATTTAAACATTTTCAGAAAATCCGTAACTTTCCAATGGAATAGTATGAGACCAAGAAATAATGTCTTCCAAGAAACGAGAGGCTTCCTTCCTTTGGAACATAAAGGTTTAGGCAAAGCAGTGCGGGGATGTAAGCATCTGCAAAATTGATTACAGAAATACTCAAACGTAACAATGATGGAATGTATTATAGTAATTATAGTCACCTTTTATAATTTGATTGGAAGTAAACATCACCATACTCCTCTCTGCCTACTTGTAAAAAATTACAAGTTTTTTATGATCTATTTTCTATTACACATGGTGCAAGAGCACAAGTAACAAAAGAAAAACAAAACAGGAGTTACTGAGGAGGTGGCTACAGTAAAACTGAAGTGCAAGTACTCCTCAGACCCACTGGTACAAAGTTAGATTAATTCAAACAGGCTTCAGCAAGGCTGTGGAGACATTAGCCTTTAAAAGAAGGAAAAGGACATTAACTTTTAAGGAGACTTCAAGCAATTCTGCACTTAATATTCTGTGTGTATACACACAGATTGTCATAACATCATATTCACATGAACAAGTTTGGTTTATGATGCACTGACAGTAAATTATAGACAAGACAGTAGGTGGTTCCAAACAACAGTTAACAATTTTTATTTACACATTTGTACTATGACATTTTCTGTTAAGAACAGAAATGTTAAATCACTGTACATGCAGGTGACAGAGAAAGAGAAGCCCTCCTTAAACACCCTTGAGAGCTTTACTTTTTTCATTTACAACCCCACGTATTAAGTTGTGTATGTAAGTGAAGGTAGGACAAACTTGTGCTTGAAAATTTCAAGAGGAAAACACACTTTATATAAATAAATTCATTGAATTTATATATTTACAATACATACAGTATATAAATTATTTTATAATTAGTCCAAAACAAGGTATTATGGTACACTGACAGCCAGTTGTGCTGAATCTTGGACTTAGTTTTCACAAGTAAATATCTAGACTAACTGTGGGAAGTGTCTCTGGCTGATCAAACAACCTAGAATGGCTTGGGGTATATCACAGCTCAGTTCTGAAGCAAAGCTTTTTGAGTGTTACACTAAACCCAGTCTGTGCTGTTAACAACCAACTATGTGCAAATGAAAAAGGTATGTTTTGTGTTCCTGATGTATCATAAAACACTCATCAGCCAAGAAAAATGTTTCTGGAGAGTCTCTGGAAACATTTCAGTGTCAGTAAATAGCCATTTATAGATACCTTCAATTTTTAAGCATACAAATCACTACTAATACTACTGCCTGTGTAAAGAGAAACTCAGAAACATGGACTGGATGCACATGGACACACCCACTAAATGCATACTATGCTTCTGGGCTTTGGCCACATTCTCTCTCTTCCTCCATTAAGAAATCAACTTGCCAGCTATGTAATGCTGAACTTTCAGAGAAAATACAGACTGCTAGTATTGCTGAAGATACTGTGCTCATTTCCCAACATCATATAAAACTCTCCTTCTGGAGTGGAACCAATGTTACAGACTCCCCACGCTGTTTAACAGCACCCAGCAGCTTACAGGATCAGGCTTTTAAAAAGAAACGGTGAAGCCACATCTCTCGAAAGTTGTTTCTTTCCTGTACTTGTGCTGCTCTTGTCTTTTTTTCAGAAAGCATCTTCACCCTCTGCAATGTCAATGATTGAGTGAAGCAACTCTTCAAAAGTTGGGCGTCCCTCTGGTTTCTAAAAACAAAAAGCATGCACAGCTGTTGTCAGAAAGCAATAAAGTTGTGTTGATCTTGATAAATTATTTGTCTTAATATCACTGTGACGATGCATTTACCTTTTAATCAGATGTGACATGCAAAAATATTTTCTTGTGTGGATTTTGGATGTGTCAATCTCAGTAAGTGTCTTTTTTTTACCACTTTGAAAAAGCATAAATAGATGTTGCTGGACTACACTCTTCTTGTAATGCATTATTTTGTATAGTGCTACACTTTCTCATTTTTATTGCCCATTCATATCTCCCCCAATGAATTGCTCCAGTCTTTCTGTACTCAAATTGTTCATGATCCTAAGAATCATGAATGTCACTATCTGAAGCTCTTCCACTTCAAAGTTGTTTTCTGGACTCCAAAATAAAGCTGCATCATAGAGTTATGCAATGGCAACCTTCTTCTCCTCTATTTTCCATACAGTTCCTTATGTGTCATAACATCCTGTTTCTTTTGTGTAATTACAGCAATACACTAAGGTAGTCTCTATGTTGACCTTGCTGACAGTTAATTTAGCACCTTCTGAATGTACGGGTAACTTGCACTTTTTCTCTATTTATCAACCTCTTTAGATTTGCTTCACCTGTTCAATTTTGAAGCTTCTGTATTCACTTCCCTCTACAAATCATTAATAAGTTTATTAAAGAAGGACTGAGGCACCTACAGCTAACCATATTTTATGACAAAGGTTGACAGTGTATTGCCATTATTTGTGTCCTGTTTGTGATTCACAAAGATTGTTTCTCTCCTATGTGATGCGTGCTTAAATTTTATTGTTAACCCAATGGAATCAATAAATGTTTAATCAATACATTGATGTTAATATAAATCCTATAAATTCATGTTAATATTCAAAAAGCATTAACAAATCACTTATCAGTATCTTCCAGGTAATTTATTTTTCCATTTTAATGACCATTTCAAGCGGGTTATCAAGTACAAACAAAATTTAATGATCTGTAGTTTCCTGGCTCTTGTGAATAGCTGTTCTGAACTAGGGATGTATTTGTCATTCCGCAGTTCTCCAGGGCACTATTGTTCTTACTTTTTTTTTTTTTCCTGCATAAACTAACAGGTTTGTAAGTTTTAGACCTCCACCAGTTGGTTTGATGACTAATTGCTCTTCTCCTCCAAGACAAGCATCAGAGAGTACGTCATCTTTATTACTGGGAAAGAGCAGTTTTACCCCAGCACTCGCTGTGGCAAAGACTAACTAGACGTAAATCATATGTGGCTCTTTGCAGTCTTTGTTTCATTGTTTGTGCTTTCAAAATTAAGAGGCGACTCATTAAATGCACCTAACCTCCTAGGGTCCCTTCTGCTTTAATGCTATAAAAATGGTTCTATACTGATTTAGTCGATAAAGTATTAAATTTCAGTTTGCTGCCCCTTTGATCTTTGTGCAAATTGCACAGTCAGTATCTTTCTAGGTTAGAAAGATTAATAGTACAGTGTATTTTTATTTTTATAAACCTTAAGATTTGTATTTAGATTAAACTACAAGTTAATCTGTATTTCTTATATAATTTATAATCAGATAATGAAGCATTCCTTTAAAAATATTTTCATTCATTCTGGCACATTTCTATACTAATTAACAAACTGAGGCAGTATCACAGCTCTAGTTCAATTGCAAGCCAGGTCAAAATTGGTCTTAACAATAAACATTCACAGCTGATAGAGGTGGATAATGTCACAATGCTGCAACAGAGATTAATTGCTGTTGCTAGAGATACAATTTTTCAATTCAAAGACAAAAAAAAGAGTATTACCTCCTGCCAGCACATCATCATCATTTCATACACCTGCTTACAGGCTAGTTTGGGCCGATACAAACGATGTCCTTGACTAACCATTGTTACCACTTCATAGTTGGAGCTTTTTTCAAAGGGCATTTTTCCTTCTGTGAATACTTCCCACATTAAAACACCTTAAAAAAAGAGAAAAATATTAGTAATTAATGTTAAGCAAATGAATCCTTAAAAAATACATTTATTTTGAGCCCTGAGCTCAGGATTTCTGGTAGATAAATAGTTTAAGATCCATGTTCTAGAAAGTATTCATATGTGTCATCACTGAAAATGTTTATTCTAGTAGCATGGGTTTTAATAAACTGTTCTAAAGGGTCTCTGTGGAACTTTACGTAGGCATGAAATCATGGCAAATGGTTTCTCTGAGCTTCTTCTCAGAAGTTGGAATCCTTCCCAATAAGTGTAGATTAACTGCTATTAATAAAATTTAAAAAAAAAAGGTGCTTTCTTTCAATGATGAAAGAATTGTCTTACCGAATGACCAGACATCTGACTTGCTGCTGAATCGGCTATAATTAAAAACTTCGGGGGGGCACCACTTCACAGGAAATTTAGCACCTGAGGAGCTTGTGTATTGATCATCAAGGACATACCTACAAAATTAACCCAAAACCCCACAACAACAAGAACAAAAAAAAAGAAAATATTATATCCTTCAGTCAGACTCTAAGCCTGCAAATTATAATTTAGATATGAATTTGAATACTAGAAGCTTATATTGCCACCTAATGGCCATGACTGTTAGCATCACACGATAAAAACAGCTTTTCTGGGGCAGTACTAAAGCTTCAGTCAAGACCCAGTTCATTTTTCTTATGACTTCAGAATCTTCTCTTATGATTATATTAGCTATACAATGCAGGTCTAGGCCACCTGCAAGTTAAATACCTGTATCACAAGAGAAAATGATGCAAAAGCATACATTTCTTGCTCCATTTCCTACCAGCCAGACTGAATTCAGATGTCAGAGGACATGCAAGCTCAGCAGCACAGAAAGGTGGCAAAAGCCAAGAAAAGCATGGTCAAACCATGGTGCTTTAACACCTTTCTTGCAAGTGCTGCTCCTCACCCTTTGCCTCACCCACACACCACCCACCTGATGTAGCACCCGAGGGTGCTAACAAGGGCAGGAAATTAAACCCTCTCCAGGTCTCTGCACCTCCCAAGCACTTTGGCTAGCAAGAGGCAACTCCGAACCATCTACCACAAGAGAATCCCAAACTCACCGAACAACCTCTTTCTATCACTATTTTTACCAAAATACAGATTAACTATTATCTCTGCAGCACAAGCTCTGCTGTCCAAGACTCAAGCTCTAATATGCCTCCTAAAGACTAAATCGATGAGATTTTCACAAATGCTAGAGAAAGTTGCTAACAGAAGACCAGTCAGACCAGAGTAATTTCAAACCCAGGCCTCTCATGGTATGCACAAAATACACTTACTTCTCTAGAGAATGCACTGCCTAGTTTTGATCTTCCAGAATTAAAACGTGTAAGTTAATCAACAGATGATCACAGAATGAACAACCTTTAAAGACACTGCAAAACAACAAGCCAAAGAATGTTCCCTAGAGAGGTCAAAAAAGATCATTTTTGCCTGTAATTTTGCTGGACATGTGTTGCTTTATGGCTAAGTACAAGGTTTAGGTGATTTTCCCAAATCTCCACAGATGTGCTTGTACACTCAGCCATACCTGGTCATTCCAAAATCCGACACCTTGACCACACCGGAGTCACTGACCAAACAGTTCCTGGCAGCCTGCAAAGGGAAAGGTTAGAGTTGGATGAAAAACCTGCAGTCTCCTGCAGACACATTACTATAGCCTAGGGAGGATTTTGTTCTCATAACTTAGCAAGTTCATCAATTTATCAAGTTCAGTGGCACATTCTCATTATTAAAAGTACATGTGCATTTGCTCTTGACAGCACTGTTTCAACAACTAAACCATTTTGTTAAAAAGTCACCAGAGCAAATTACCATCTCAAGGGATTCATGAGTGGTGAAAATAACACTATTACAGAACAGAGAAGCCATTATATCAGCACAAATAGCCATTAACTCTTCATATAAATTCCTGAGCTATTCTATTCCATTATGGGGGGAGAGGGAAACCTCTCATCATTTTCTGTAGAGCAGTTTTAGAAACGTGATTAGACCCTGAAGAGCCAACCTCAACTACTCCTCATTTTCTGCAAGAACAAAAGCAGTAATTTACAAACAGGCTGTTTTAAAAAGGAATAGATAAGTTCAAAACCAAAAATTTCAAAGATTTACCAGGTCTCTGTGGATAAAGCTGTTTCTCTCCAGGTACTCCATTGCCTCACATACATCTTGGCACATAGTGAGCAGGACATCCTTACTTAAAACTCCCCGTTTTTGTCTCAGGTAATTGAGAAGGCAGCCATGCTCCATGAACTCTGTCACAATGTAGATAGGTCTCTGTTGTGTGCACACGCCATAGAGCTGAACTAATTTAGGATGTGTTAGCTTCCTGAAAAGATTGAGATGACGTTGTTACTACTTCCTCAACCCAGTGCTAGCTCTCCACCCCACAGAACTGCAAAAATAACACCTGCCCAAAGCCTTTTATATATAACCACTATGTGGTATCAGGGGCCTAGAACTGGCAATGAAAGTGCCAAGCACACAACTCACATCATTACTTTAGCCTCTTCGATGAAATCCTCTTCATACATCGCACCCTCTCGAATTGCCTTGATGGCCACTTTATACTGTGCCCTCCACTTCCCAAGGCGCACCACACCAAACAGACCGCTCCCCAGCTCTCTCATGAACGTCAGTTCCGAGGGGTTAATTTCCCATTTCTCTATAAAACAGAAAAACCAAGAGTCCACGACTCCTGTTTTAAGGAACTTACTGAACTTGTAAGTGATAATAAAGAGGAAAGGGAAACTGGATTACTAGTAAACTGGGGAATTTAGGGAAAAGTAACTTGAAAACTGAACACTTCTATACCTCAAACCCCAAACTTTTAGGCAGATATGACCTTTGAGCATCTCCTCACCAACACAGAAGGAAAAACTCCAGCTTTCCTGAGGCCAGTAATTGCATACTGATATTATCAGACTTGATCTCAACAAATTGTCATGGTAGAAAGTTGTTCCAATGCATAGAAGCTGCTCACGTCACCTGATATGCCATGCTTAAAACAGGTTATTCCAAATTTATATAAACAAAAAGTAACCCCTCTGCAAAGATCAAAGGGACAACGTTGAGTCAGAAGTCTGGAAGATTATGAAGGAGCCTAAGGCACAGCTCATTAATAGGGCTGATCTCAAGGTGTCCGCAAAAGCATGGAGAAAGATGCTGAATTCCCATGGAGCACCAGTGACACATTCTGCCTCTCTTCACTGATGCCCTTAGCACCACATGCCTACCACCAACCATGATACCTTTGCACGCCAATCCTCTGAGCAAGGGTCTCCACAGTACAGCTTAGACTCCTGTAAACTTAGTCACAGTACAAAATTAAGTCCTTTACAAATGTTTTGGAAAATATTAGAATCAAAGAACCACTCCGGTTGGATAAGACCTCTAAGATCATTGAGTCCAACCATTAACCCTACTCTACCAAATCTACCTCTAAACCATATCCCCAAGCATCACATCTACACACCTTTTTATATCCGGGGACAATGACTCAATGACATCTCTGGGAAGCATGTTCCAATGCCTGACAACTGTTTCAGTGAAAACGTTCTTCCTAATGTCCCATCTAAACCTCCCCTAGAGCAGCTTGAGGTGATTCCCTCTTGTTCTACCACTAGTTACTTGTGAGAAGAGACCAGCACCCACCTCTCTACAACATCCTATCAGGTAGCTGTAGAGGGCAATAAGGTTCCCCCCCTGAGCCTCCTCTTCTTCAGACTAAATAGCCCCAGTTCCTTCAGCTACTCCTCATAAGACATGTTCTCTAGGCCCTACTGTACCATCTTAACATACATAAAATCAGTAGGAAAGATGTGTGTGGATGAATATAACATGCAAGTACCGTAGCTGAATCCTGCTGTTGTTGGTGCTGTTGTCTTCTTTGGGGTCACTGGGTAACGCAGCCTGGTAACGAGACCTGAGTTTCAATGATAATTCGAGAGACACAGTTTACTTCTGAAATGGTGCCAGGCAACAAATCAGTCACTGCAAACTTCAACAATGATTAACAATATAATATAATACATACAACTTTGACCCTATTTTCTGCTATTGCATTGTGTTGTCTATTCAAAGCGGCTACAAGAGGTACACAGGAGCACTCACTGCATCTAACTTGTTACATCTGCTGGTGAGAGATGGATATAGATACACATATTTGGGCTTTACAGTTCTGCTGGCACCAAAAAAGGCTGAAGACCCCTCCCATAAGTCAGATCAGAAAGATTATCTAAAACTCACTATGTTAGTTTTGATCATTTCTGTTTTCCACCAGTTTCACAAAGGGATTTTTTATATATATATAC